CTGTCGATGATGACGGGGTCGGAGGGCGTCTCGTTGCGGTTCCCGCAGCTCTTCTTGTCACAACACCGACTGGAAGACAGAAAAACACGTTTCACACGTTGAGTGCTACATGTAGACCAGGAGCAAGCAAGCTAACGTTAGCACTCGATGAAGCATGGTGGTTCTCAAACTGTGGGCCGTGGCCCCCTGGGAGGGCAGAGAGCCGCTGAATGATCAGGATTCTGGTAAACTCTGCAGATGCTGCGGTGCCGACCTGAAGAATTTCTTTTATTTCAACCAAATTCAGCTACGCTCCTTTTTTATTTGTTGCTCCCCCAATATTGTTAAAGAGTGATAAGAATTCAGAATTCAGGGTATGAACTGCTTTCGGCTTTTGAAAGGGAGTCAGGACTGAATAGAAACACCAGCAACCGATTACACTGCTGGTCAAAGAGCAGAAGTTGAATTTTTGCTTTTCACGGGTAAAAAGTGAGTCAGAGACAACAGTGCAGAAGTATTCATCATTATTCAGGAGATTATAAGCATTAATATACGGCTGAAACAAACGATTATTTTCTGAATCAGTAGTTTGGTCTATAAAGTGTCAGAAAGTCGTCAGAAAAGTCGACGGGTGTTTCCCAAAGCCCCCAGATGACGTCCTGAAACGTCCACAACTGAAATATCTTCAGTTTACTGTCACAGAGAAGAAATGAAACCAGAAAATATTTAATACTTATAAAAGGCTACAATCAGAGATTTTTGACTTTCTAAATAAATGACTCAAACCGATTAATCAATTATCAAACTAGTTTAATTGTTGGCAGTTGACAGATTAATCGCTGCAGCTCTACATGAATAACTAAAGTGACGGATGTGTCCTCACTCATTTAAATGAAAAACAACTGGACTCAGCGATAACATAAGACAACATGACTCGGACAACAACTTCCTCTCATGCCGGCTCTCTGGAGAGCTCCACACAGAGAGGTGACCGGACAGGAAGCCGGAGGGACAGCTGGACCTGAGCACCCAGGACCTGCTGGATCTATTTACTAACTTTAAACATTAAAGGTCCGACTCCTCTAATCTAACCGCCTGCTGGGGGTCCTGTGGAAGCACAACGGCAAACCACTTTCTGGTGTCCTGGAGGCAGATTTTAAAAAATGAAAATCTATTTTAGCTTTAAAGTCGTGGACCCTGGGGATCTAGAGGAGCTTCACTCTCACTCAAAGTGGGATAAATACCGACTGAGGGTTTTGTGAGCGGCGTGCAAAAAGGCTCGGACCAGAAAATCTCTGAAGAAAGAAAAACCAAACATTGATGAGTAGATCGATTTAGCAAGACAATTACATTTCTATTGAGACGTCAGACGGAAAGCTTCAAGGAAAATTGGACAAAAAGGCTTCTTATGTGTCACCTTTAAGGCCTGACTCTACATAGCAGTATTAATAATTACATTAAGATCTTCCCATTACACCGTCTGCTATGTTTAGAAAGGTGTGTGCTGTAGAAATAAAGGTGCCTTGACTTGCAAAATAAAACTTCTGTATCTGTAAAAAAGGAGCTTTTATTTTGAAACTCTCCCTGTCCAGCTGAGCAGGGTCCACGCCAATGTCACTAACAGTTGGACGGCGCCCAGTGATGGAGGCACTGCTGCGGACCCCCCTTCCAATCCTGACCCCAGTGTGTCGTCGCCCCTGAAAACCAGCCAGCCAACCGGACGGCTGCTCGCCAAACTGCCAGGTAGCCAGAGGGCAAGCTGGCCGGCGAGCGTTTCATCCCACCAGCTGCCGACTCCTGGTCCAGAGTGTGTGGAGGCATCCGGAGGGAGGAGGCGGCGCCGGGTTTCTGTTTCGACTCTGCAGGGGACGGGTGGAGCCAAACGAGGCGGCCGGGGTCGCGGGTCAGCGCGGCGTGTTGAACAGCAGCGGGCTGAATCCAACACATTAATATCCATCAGACAGATGGAGAGGAGGCGCGTTGTCCTGCTGCAAACTGTTCAGTGAACGCACCACGAGGGACAGAGGCAGTCCGGGAACAAACTCAGTACTTTTACTCAAGTACTATCCCAAAGTACTTCTGTAACATTTACATATTTAGACTTTTCAGAGGGAAATATTGTCCTACTGAACGTATTTATCTACAATAAAGTGGAACAAAGTCCAAAAGGACTCATTTGTTCCTGAAGCACAGGTTTGTGCGTCGTCTATGTTTTTATGCATTTTATTTGTTTGTAAACTTGGCGTTTAAAAAATGCTCTATAAATGAAACTGATTGGACTGGATTAGTAGTTCACAGAGGTAACTGATCACATGATCGCCTTCGGGATAGCAACACGCAGGTGAGGCTGTCTGAAGTGCAGCTGGAAAAGGCTGTTCCACCATTTCTTTTAAACTACAGCGATGGCGGCCGATCCGGCAGGATGTAGCTGTCAGAGCAGAGATGCAGCTGCATGCATGAACTACAGATCCCAACGAAACGATCGATCACAGATAAAAAGGCGGCTTGAACAAGTTTCTTCCAGCTTCAAATGGGAAACGCAACTTGTTACGGAAACTTTGGTCTGAGTTTCTTTAGAAGTTGGTCTATGTGTAAGTTGCAGAAGTGCTAACAAAACAATATTACGGTAAAACTAATTACTAAAATCAGTGAATTGACCCTGCCTGTATTTGGGTCAGGCCTTTAATTCCTCTCGCACAAAACTGAAACTACTGTGAAACAGTTTGAATATTACTTGTATAAAAAGTATTATATCCAATAATATCAAATAGACGTCATTCATTTGATCGAGCTCCGACAGGCGGCTTTAGTGCAATTTATACTTCTGCGTCGAATCGACGGCGTAGCCCGTGCGTAGTCCCGTACCTGCGCCGTAGCCTGGCGTGCCCCTCCTGAAAAATGTAACTACACGTCGAGGGGACGCAGACCATAAGAACTGTGATTGGTCGGCTTGGTAGCCTCCGAGCCAACAGGAAGTACCCCGTGCTTTGAAGTATATTTTACTAGCGGCCAATCCAGCGGCTGTAACACGGTGGATCAACATATTTGAGCGTCACAACCCGAGCGAAATGACTTGTTTCACCATCAGAATGTGATCCATTCGGTCGGTAACATTTGAAAAGGCTTCACCAGCCGCACGTTTACAATTTTACCCCCAATCACGTTAGCAGAGGGCTAAACCGGAAGTTAGCCTGCTCGGCCGGCAGAAGGCAACACAGTGGACGCTGTTGCGCTACCGCCAACTAGCGTTTGGCGGCATCATTGCAGAACGACGGAGACACCGACGCACAAGGATAAATGCACGGCGTAGCTGCGCACGTAGCCCTGACGCAGGAGTATAAATTAAGCTTTATGCGCTTTTATTTTGAAGGCAGCAGCGATCGACTTCACACGACAGGGTTCACAACTTGGATTCATTTTTATGAAAAGCTCTTTTGAGCGGTGGACCCTTTAGGGCTGGTGATGGTGCAGCGGATAAGACACATGCCTTTGGTGTGAGAGACCCGGGTTCGAATCCACGGTGAGACTCCAGAGGTGTGCGACCTCATATATATATATATATATATATATATATATATATATATACATATATATATAGACATATGTAGCAGTCGCTTTGGGTAAAAGCGTCAGCTAAATGAATAAACGTAATGTTACAGACTAAGGGAAGAGAAATAATCAAGGAACGGAAACATCAGCACTTCTTTTCTCTTTTCATCTCTTGTACCAGGCAGGTAAATCTCTAAGAATCAGATTTTGGGGCTCGTTAAATGAACTGAACGACTGAATTGTGGAGAATCTAACCGATGTAACGATGTGCAGCGTGTCCACACTGACTCATTGATCACATGTTTAAACTTTAATATTTGTATTAACGATCTGAGCAGCTTAGAACTTCTATAAAAACCAGAGCAGGCGTCTAATGGAGACCTGCGTTTATTAGTCCGAATGTGTTCGCACAGCAGGCGGCTGTTAACTGAAGTTTTACGGTTTTCTGATTACAATTAATCCAAATAATAATAAAACTCTTTCTGGATTTATTTACTTTGGTGAAGAAAATTTGAATTAACTAACATTTTATTGCGATAACCGTTAAACCCACTGAGCTACAAGTAAATATCAATATATGTGAATGAAACCTGGCACAGTTACCGTGCGTCAAAACAGGAACAGAATGAGACTTTGGCCCCTAATGTGTACAAGGAAAGCAAACGTATCGTCCATCATTACACCCGGATACTTATAACACATAAAGAAACACATCGTTTGTACTTTTGTTTTACTTTTGTCAGCTGAATCTGACGGATCTTCAAACATCCTGCTCAGTTATGTGCATTCATTGGCTGCTTCAACACTTTTAACACAACTGCAAGTCGTTCATTTTTGTTCAGATCAAGTCATCAAAGTCCTGACTCGAATCTGACTCGAGCCCAGGTCACCTGGTTAGTTTAAAAAGACTTCACATAGAATAAACACATTGTTAGAGATAAAATCAGCTGCTAGCATATAAACCAAATGAGCTCTTCTTCCAACAGATACATGAAAATGTCTCATTAACCTGACTGTGTCTGTCTTATCTTATTTCCCTTTATTCCCGTGTGTCCCTCCCTACATGAGGAAGTCTTCCTCCCGCCAGGCTGCGGGTGTAAATAAGAATTTGTTCTTAACTTAAGGTTAAATAAAAGACATTAAATAATCAGGAACCATTCTGCAGTAAGCAGAGTTTTATTTATGATACTTAACTCATCCTTTACTTTGCACGTATTTCAGAGGAGTTTTTCTAAATCGTAGTATTTGCGTTTGAGTCAGTCACATTTACGAGACTGAAGTGTAACTCTGCTAAATGTAATTTCTAACGCTGAATCTCATCCATCCATCATTAATAACAACAACGCCGTCTCCACCTAATTCTCTGCCAATAATAATCTCCTGACAACCGACTCACATCTTTCTCTTCCTCCCTTTCTTATCGCTGTGAGGGTCATTAACATATCTTCCGGTAATTCTTAAAAATTAATCATATTGCATATGACCCGTGACGTCCAATTACGCTCCTGCACTCGCCCCATGCTGTCCTGAATCAAATTGCC